ATGTTTCCACCTCCATGTTTGACGGTGGGGATGGTGTTCTTGGGGTCATAGGCAGCATTCCTCCTTCTCCAAACACGGCGAGTTGAGTTGATGCCAAAGAGCTCCATTTTGGTCTCATCTGACCATAACACTTTCACCCAGTTCTCCTCTGAATCATTCAGATGTTCATTGGAAAACTTCAGACGGGCATGTATATGTGCTTTCTTGAGCAGGGGGAACTTGCGGGCGCTGCAGGATTTCAGTCCTTCACGGCGTAGTGTGTTACCAATTGTTTTCTTGGTGACTATGGTCCCATCGGCCTTGAGATCATTGACAAGATCCTCCCGTGTAGTTACATTTACATTTACATTTTAGTCATTTAGCAGACGCTCTTATCCAGAGCGACTTACAGTTAGTGAGTGCATACATTTAAATTTTTTTATACTGGAATCGAACCCACAACCCTGGCATTACAAATGCCATGCTCTACCAACTGAGCTACATCCCTGCCGGCCATTCCCTCCCCTACCCTGGACGACGCTGGGCCAATTGTGCGCCGCCCCATGGGTCTCCCGGTCGCGGCCGGCTACGACAGAGCCTGGATTCGAACCAGGATCTCTAGTGGCACAGCTAGCACTGCAATGCAGTGCCTTAGACCACTGCGCCACTGGGCTGATTCCTCACCATTTTCATGATCATTGCAACTCCACGAGGTGAGATCTTGCATGGAGCCCCAGGCCGAGGGAGATTGACATTTATTTTGTGTTTCTTCCATTTGCGAATAATCGCACCAACTGTTGTCACCTTCTCACCAAGCTGCTTGGCGATGGTCTTGTAGCCCATTCCAGCCTTGTATAGGTCTACAATCTTGTCCCTGACATCCTTGGAGAGCTCTTTGGTCTTGGCCATGGTGGAGAGTTTGGAATCTGATTGATTGCTTCTGTGGACAGGTGTCTTTTATACAGGTAACAAACTGAGATTAGGAGCACTCCCTTTAAGAGTGTGCTCCTAATCTCAGCTCGTTACCTGTATAAAAGACACCTGGGAGCCAGAAATCTTTCTGATTGAGAGGGGGTCAAATACTTATTTCCCTCATTAAAATGCAAATCAATTTATAACATTTTTGACATGCGTTTTTCTGGATTTTTTTGTTGTTATTCTGTCTCTCACTGTTCAAATAATAAACCTACCATTAAAATTATAGACTGATCATTTCTTTCAGTGGGCAGACGTACAAAATCAGCAGGGGATTAAATACTTTTTTCCCTCACTGTATATATGTGTGTGTGTGTGTGTGTGTGTGTGTGTGTGTGTGTGTGTGTGTGTGTGTGTATATACAGTGGGGGGAAAAAGTATTTAATCAGCCACCAATTGTGCAAGTTCTCCCACTTAAAAAGATGAGAGAGGCCTGTAATTTTCATCATAGATACACGTCAACTATGACAGACAAAATGAGAAAAAAAAATCCAGAAAATCACATTGTAGGATTTTTAATGATTTTATTTGCAAATGATGGTGGAAAATAAGTATTTGGTCAATAACAAAAGTTTCTCAATACTTTGTTATATACCCTTTGTTGGCAATGACACAGGTCAAACGTTTTCTGTAAGTCTTCACAAGGTTTTCACACACTGTTGCTGGTATTTTGGCCCATTCCTCCATGCAGATCTCCTCTAGAGCAGTGATGTTTTGGGGCTGTCGCTGGGCAACACGGACTTTCAACTCCCTCCAAAGATTTTCTATGGGGTTGAGATCTGGAGACTGGCTAGGCCACTCCAGCACCTTGAAATGCTTCTTACGAAGCCACTCCTTCGTTGCCCGGGCGGTGTGTTTGGGATCATTGTCATGCTGAAAGACCCAGCCACGTTTCATCTTCAATGCCCTTGCTGATGGAAGGAGGTTTTCACTCAAAATCTCACGATACATGGCCCCATTCATTCTTTCCTTTACACGGATCAGTCGTCCTGGTCCCTTTGCAGAAAAACAGCCCCAAAGCATGATGTTTCCACCCCCATGCTTCACAGTAGGTATGGTGTTCTTTGGATGCAACTCAGCATTCTTTGTCCTCCAAACACGACGAGTTGAGTTTTTACCAAAAAGTTCTATTTTGGTTTCATCTGACCATATGACATTCTCCCAATCCTCTTCTGGATCATCCAAATGCACTCTAGCAAACTTCAGACGGGCCTGGACATGTACTGGCTTAAGCAGGGGGACACGTCTGGCACTGCAGGATTTGAGTCCCTGGCGGCGTAGTGTGTTACTGATGGTAGGCTTTGTTACTTTGGTCCCAGCTCTCTGCAGGTCATTCACTAGGTCCCCCTGTGTGGTTCTGGGATTTTTTCTCACCGTTCTTGTGATCATTTTGACCCCACGGGGTGAGATCTTGCGTGGAGCCCCAGATCGAGGGAGATTATCAGTGGTCTTGTATGTCTTCCATTTCCTAATAATTGCACCCACAGTTGATTTCTTCAAACCAAGCTGCTTACCTATTGCAGATTCAGTCTTCCCAGCCTGGTGCAGTTCTACAATTTTGTTTCTGGTGTCCTTTGACAGCTCTTTGATCTTGGCCATAGTGGAGTTTGGAGTGTGACTGTTTGAGGTTGTGGACAGGTGTCTTTTATACTGATAACAAGTTCAAACCGGTGCCATTAATACAGGAAACGTGTGGAGGACAGAGGATTCTCTTAAAGAAGAAGTTACAGGTCTGTGAGAGCCAGAAATCTTGCTTGTTTGTAGGTGACCAAATACTTATTTTCCACCATAATTTGCAAATAAATTCATAAAAAATCCTACAATGTGATTTTCTGGATTTTCTTCCCTCAATTTGTCTGTCATAGTTGACGTGTACCTATGATGAAAATTACAGGCCTCTCTCATCTTTTTAAGTGGGAGAACTTGCACAATTGGTGGCTGACTAAATACTTTTTTTCCCCACTGTGTGTGTGTAAATGTATGTATGTGTGTGTGTACAGTGGGGAAAAAAAGTATTTAGTCAGCCACCAATTGTGCAAGTTCTCCCACTTAAAAAGATGAGAGAGGCCTGTAATTTTCATCATAGGTACACGTCAACTATGACAGACAAAATGAGAAAAAAAAATCCAGAAAATCACATTGTAGGATTTTTAATGAACTTATTGGCATATGATGGTGGAAAATAAGTATTTGGTCAATAACAAAAGTTTCTCAATACTTTGTTATATACCCTTTGTTGGCAATGACACAGGTCAAACGTTTTCTGTAAGTCTTCACAAGGTTTTCACACACTGTTGCTGGTATTTTGGCCCATTCCTCCATGCAGATCTCCTCCAGAGCAGTGATGTTTTGGGGCAGTCGCTGGGCAACACAGACTTTCAACTCCCTCCAAAGATTTTCTATGGGGTTGAGATCTGGAGACTGGCTAGGCCACTCCAGGACCTTGAAATGCTTCTTACGAAGCCACTCCTTCGTTGCCCGGGCGGTGTGTTTGGGATCATTGTCATGCTGAAAGACCCAGCCACGTTTCATCTTCAATGCCCTTGCTGATGGAAGGAGGTTTTCACTCAAAATCTCACGATACATGGCCCCATTCATTCTTTCCTTTACACGGATCGGTCGTCCTGGTCCCTTTGCAGAAAAACACCCCAAAGCATGATGTTTCCAACCCCATGCTTCACAGTAGGTATGGTGTTCTATGGATGCAACTCATCATTCTTTGTCCTCCAAACATGACGAGTTGAGTTTTTACCAAAAAGTTATATTTTGGTTTCATCTGACCATATGACATTCTCCCAATCCTCTTCTGGATCATCCAAATGCACTTCAGACGGGCCTGGACATGTACTGGCTTAAGCAGGGGGACACGTCTCGCACTGCAGGATTTGAGTCCCTGGCGGCGTAGTGTGTTACTGATGGTTGGCTTTGTTACTTTGGTCCCAGCTCTCTGCAGGTCATTCACTAGGTCCCCCCGTGTGGTTCTGGGATTTTTGCTCACCGTTCTTGTGATCATTTTGACACCACGGGGTGAGATCTTGCGTGGAGCCCCAGATCGAGGGAGATTATCAGTGGTCTTGTATGTCTTCCATTTCCTAATAATTGCTCCCACAGTTGATTTCTTCAAACCAAGCTGCTTACCTATTGCAGATTCAGTCTTCCCAGCCAGGTGCAGGTCTACAATTTTGTTTTTGGTGTCCTTTGACAGCTATTTGGTCTTGGCCATTGTGAAGTTTGGAGTGTGACTGTTTGAGGTTGTGGACAGGTGTCTTTTATACTGATAACAAGTTCAAACAGGTGCCATTAATACAGGTAACGAGTGGAGGACAGAGGAGCCTCTTAAAGAAGAAGTTACAGGTCTTTTTTGGTTACTACATGATTCCATATGTGTTATTTCATAGTTTTGATGTCTTCACTATTATTCTACAATGTAGAAAATAGTAAAAATTAAGATAAACCCTTGAATGAAAACTTTTGACCGGTATTATATATGTACGGATGCGTGCATACATGTAGCTAAGGTGGTGTTCACCTGACTCCCCGCCTGCACTGTGAAATGGAGCATGCTTTAATCCCTGTCACTCACACACACAATAAGCAGTGCTCTCATGCCTGCGGTGTGATTTGATAGATGTGGTCTTTAGTTAGATGGTGAAACTGATTATCTAATTTTCTACATGTGAATTTTATAGTTGGGTGGCGTAATAGTGATTATCTTATCTGATGTCATAATTATGGCATGTGTAAAATGGAGAGAGGATTGCATTAGTGTGATTATATGTATTAGTGTGCTTTTCTGCTTTTTTTTCTCTCACACACACTTAACATTTACCTCATTACCATAATTGTTTCATCATATATTTATTTCTAGCATTAGATCATTTCATCACATATTCCTTTGATAATACGTGGCTAATGCTTTGGCTAACATTCAGACAACCCTCTGTCTTTCTGTCTCTGGTCTAATTTGGGATCGATGTGTAACTTACTAACTATCCGTCTCCTCCAACCCTCCCTTTTTCTCTTTCCCCAGGGGGACTCCATGAAAGATGACGGAGGAGGTGACAGTTGTAGCCAAGTGGGACTACACGGCCCAGCAGGACCAGGAACTTGACATCCGGAAGAACGAGCGGCTCACCTTGCTGGACGACAGCAAGACGTGGTGGAGGGTGAGGAACGCCTCCAACCAGACAGGCTACGTCCCCTCTAACTACGTGGAACGCAAGAACAGCCTTGTGAAGAAGGCATCGCTGGTCAAGAACCTCAAAGACACACTGGGTAAGAAGGGTGGGGGTGGGCTGGGTAAGAGGGGTAGGGTTGGGCAGGGTAAGAGGGGTGGGAGTGGGCTGGATATGTAGAGGTCGTAGAGTATGTTGTTGGTAGTTTATCAGCAGTGAAAAGTGGAGCGTCCCTCGACTCCCTCCCCCTCTGTTTTTTCATCCTCCTCTACACTCCAGCTAGAAATGGATGAGTTCATTATTCGCATCTCTTCTGAATACTTTATGTGTGTGCCTTCCCCCACTCGGTCTCTGTCTGACAGGGTCTGGTACTGGGGTTGGGTGTGTGGATGTGTGCCTTGGTCCTATTTTAGAGTAGCTATCCACCACCACCCCAGGGACAGTGTTCAGTTGGTCGTCGCTCTGAGCTGCCAGAGCTTGGTGTCTGTAGGTCCTCAGATTAACGTGTGTGACTGTTAGTGTGTGTCTTACTGTGAGTGAGACTGATTGTGTGCGTGCTAAGGTCATGCACGTTTCTCAGGTTTGCCATCATTCCTCTTCACAGGTTTCCGGTTTGACAGATTCCTAGGTTAGAGTTCAGGTTTCAGGATAATGCCTGTAACATCAGGAAAACTTCACACTACAGGATTATTCTAGATTACATTTTATCCAAGATGTTTACTAAACATGCATGGATTGTCAAATGTGAGCTTGTATCATGGCTGGTGGAGACTGGAGAGAAACTCTTGCATGTTCCGTCTCTCCTTATTCCAGTGATCTTATTTTTCACGTCCTCTTTTTTATACTTTCTCATACATTTTGCTGAATTGCGAACATCAGGAATCAATCCATATTTATTGCCTGCACGAAAGAGAAACATACAGAGCTGAGCACACATGCCTTATTTGTCCTGTCAGTTGTGAATAATTCAATTAAATCTTGTTTGCAAACTGTCAACAGACATTACTGGAGTTTGTAAACCGCTAGGTTTGAATATCTTCACTGCTGGTTAGAGAGTGAGTGTTAAGTTTACAGAGAGTGAGTGTGAAGTTTACAGAGTGAGAGAGGCCGAGTGACAAACATACAGAGAAAGAGAGTGAGTGAGGGAGTGAATTTCATGTAATTCTACACATTTTGCCATGGGGTGTAGAGAAAACATTGCAGTTTTTAATATGATATGAGTGCGACTAACAAAATCAATTGGGGCACCTCGGACGGAAATTCGACCATGATAACAAGTTTAGATAACTGGCCACTAAACGAACTTGGCAATCTAAAAAATGTTAGCTGACAAGGGGTAATTTACTGACTATCAGTGACTGACATAACAAGAGAATAACTGCTGATGCACAACAAAATTTCGAAATTGCACCTTTAATATTCTACTATTCTAACTCTCAACAGTAAGTTGAGACCCCGACTGAGTTCCTAGAGGCACTGAGCCAACACTCAACAAACATTCTAATCTTACTCTGTTATCCCCTGCGCACACTGTTATTCTGACACCTCTATATGAGTGTATCCATAATTAATGGAATGTCTGTCTGTATATTCCATTAAAGGATGTCATTAAAGTCCTGTGTACGGGCAGTGAACCTAACCAGTGTCATAGTGCGATCCCTAACACAGCCATGCTGTTCCCAATCCATCCATCCATTAGAGCTTTGAACAGTGCTAGACTCACCAGCCTAATGTTGTTACAGCCTGTGGCGAAACCATGAAACAACGAACCATCCCCATCTGTTATTGAATTGCACATTATGCTCAGGTTCCTATTCAACCCCTAGCCTTTCAATATTTTGTATTTGATCATAAATCTGTACTCGGATAGTTAGGATTCAAGCTCGGCAGTAACTTCTAATGTGTGTCTTATTTTGAATCAGTTCTGTGTGGGCACACAAGTGTGTGCACCTGCTCAGTAAATTCAGCATTCTATAAGTTATGGTTGGACTGGGTCCCTCTTTGCTCTTCCTGAAGGGAATAGAAGCCCAGTAGCACTCACTCAAAATGGCTGTGCCATTGACAGACTCTGCAGGCCAGTACAGGGTAATGATCTCCCCAGTGATCCAAAATGGCTGTGCTCACTCATCCAGTGACAGCTACTGCAGGCCAATACAGGGCAACCAATGATCTCCCGACTGAGTCAAAATGGCTCCCTTGGCTTCAGTCTGTCTGACAGATTAGTACACACTGTCACGGCGCCAACGCTGCCTGCCCGTAATGTTTGTGAAAACATAAACAGCTGATGTTTATGGACTGTTTTATAGACTGAGCGCTGAGCTACAATAGCGCTGTGTGTTAATGGCACCCTGCTACCATAATGTTATGACAGGCGGTAACCTTACAGTGGGGGAAAGGGAAAATATATGAAAATAAATGTTTTAATAAAAGTGCTTGTTAACTGTTAATAGCTTCTCATTTGTAGTGGTATGCAAACTAGAATGATGATGATGAGATGATTATTTTTTTTATTTTTTTTTATTTCACCTTTATTTAACCAGGTAAGCCAGTTGAGAACAGGTTCTCATTTACAACTGCGACCTGGCCAAGATAAAGCATAGTAGTGCAATAAAACAACAACACAGAGTTACATATGGGGTAAAAAACATAAAGTCAGAAATACAACAGAAAATATATATACAGTGTGTGCAAATGTAGCAAGTTATGGAGGTAAGGCAATAAATAGGCTATAGTGCAGAATAATTACAATAGTATTAACACTGGAATGCTAGATGTGCAAGAGATTATGTGCAAATAGAGATACTGGGGTGCAAATGAGCAAAATAAATAACAATATAGGGATGAGGTAGTTGGGTGGGCTAATTTCAGATGGGCTGTGTACAGGTGCAGTGATCGGTAAGGTGCTCTGACAACTGATGCTTAAAGTTATTGAGGGAGATAAGTCTCCAGCTTCAGAGATTTTTGCAATTCGTTCCAGTCATTGGCAGCAGAGAACTGGAAGGAATGGCGGCCAAAGGAGGTGTTGGCTTTGGGAATGACCAGTGAGATATACCTGCTGGAGCGCAGACTACGGGTGGGTGCTGCTATGGTGACCAATGAGCTAAGATAAGGCGGGGATTTGCCTAGCAGTGATTTATAGATGGCCTGGAGCCAGTGGGTTTGACGACGAACATGTAGTGAGGACCAGCCAACAAGAGCGTACAGGTCACAGTGGTGGGTAGTGTATGGGGCTTTGGAGACAAAACGGATGGCACTGTGATAGACTACATCCAATTTGCTGAGTAGAGTGTTGGAGGCTATTTTGTAAATGACATCGCCGAAGTCAAGGATCGGTAGGATAGTCAGTTTTACGAGGGCATGTTTGGCAGCATGAGTGAAGGAGGCTTTGTTGCGAAATAGGAAGCCGATTCTAGATTTAACTTTGGATTGGAGATTCTTTATGTGAGTCTGGAAGTTGAGTTTACAGTCTAACCAGACACCTAGGTATTTGTAGTTGTCCACATACTCTAGGTCAGACCCGTCAAGAGTGGTGATTCTAGTCGGGTGGGCGGGTGCCAGCAGCGTTCGATTGAAAAGCATGCATTTAGTTTTACTAGTGTTTAAGAGCAGTTGGAGGCTACTGAAGGATTGTTGTATGGCATTGAAGCTCGTTTGGAGGTTTGTTAACACAGTGTCCAATGAAGGGCCAGATGTATACAAAATGGTGTCGTCTGCGTAGAGGTGGATCTGAGAGTCACCAGCAGCAAGAGCGACATCATTGATATACACGGAGAAAAGTGTCGGCCCAAGAATTGAACCCTGTGGCACCCACATATAGACTGCCATAGGTCCAGACAACAGGCCCTCCGATTTGACACACTGAACTCTATCTGAGAAGTAGTTGGTGAACCAGGCGAGGCAGTCATTTGAGAAACCAAGGCTATTTAGTCTGCCAATAAGAATGCGGTGGTTGACAGAGTCGAAAGCCTTGGCCAGGTCGATGAAGACGGCTGCACAGTACTGTCTATTATCAATCGCGGTTATAATATCGTTTAGGACCTTGATCGTGGCTGAAGTGCACCCGTGACCAGCTCGGAAACCGGATTGCATAGCGGAGAAGGTACGGTGGTATTCGAAATGGTCAATTATCTGTTTGTTAACTTGGCTTTCGAATACTTTCGAAAGGCAGGGCAGGATGGATATAGGTCTGTAGCAATTTGGATCTAGAGTGTCACCCCCTTTGAAGAGGGGGATGACCGCGGCAGCTTTCCAATCTCTGGGGATCTCAGACGTTATGAAAGAGAGGTTGAACAGACTAGTAATAGGGGTAGCGACAATTTCGGCGGCTAGTTTTAGAAAGAAAGGGTCCAGATTGTCTAGCCCAGCTGATTTGTAGGGGTCCAGATTTTGCAGCGCTTTCAAAACATCAGCTGTCTGAATTTGTGTGAAGGAGAAGCGGGGGGGGGCATGGGCAAGTTGCAGCAGAGGGTGCAGAGTTGGTGGCCGGGTTAGTGGTAGCCAGATGGAAAGCATGGCCAGCTGTAGCAAAATGCTTGTTGAAATTCTCGATTATTGTAGATTTATCGGTGGTGATAGTGTTTCCTAGCCTCAGTGCAGTGGGCAGCTGGGAGGAAGTGCTCTTATTCTCCATGGACTTTACAGTGTCCCAAAACTTTTTGGAGTTAGTGCTACAGGATGCAAATTTCTGTTTGAAAAAGTTAGCCTTTGCTTTCCTGACTGCTTGTGTATATTGGTTCCTAACTTCCCTGAAAAGTTGCATATCGCGGGGGCTATTTGATGCTAATGCTGTACGCCACAGGATGTTTTTGTGCTGGTCAAGGGCAGTCAAGTCTGAGGAGAACCAGGGGCTATATCGGTTCTTAGTTCTGTATTTTTTGAATGGGGCATGTTTATTTAAGATTGAGAGGAAATTACTTTTAAGGAACAACCAGGCATCCTCTACTGACGGAATGAGATCTATATCCATCCAGGATACCTGGGCCAGGTCAATTAGGAAGGCCTCCTCGCTAAAGTGTTTTAGGGAGCGTTTGACAGTGATGAGGGGTGGTCGTTTGACCGCGGACCCGTTACGGACGCAGGCAATAAGGCAGTGATCGCTGAGATCCTGGTTGAAGACAGCTGAGGTGTATTTAGAGGGTATGTTAGTCAGGATGATATCTATGAGGGTACCCATGTTTACGGATTTAGGGTTGTACCTGGTAGGTTCGTTGATAATTTGCGTGAGGTTGAGGGCATCTAGCTTGGATTGTAGGATGGCTGGGGTATTAAGCATATCCCAATTTAGGTCACCAAGCAGTACAAACTCTGAGGATAAATGGGGGGCAATCAATTCACATATGGTGTCCAGGGCACAGCTGGGGGCTGAGGGGGGTCTGTAGCAAGCGGCAACAGTGAGAGACTTATTTCTGGAAAGGTGGATTTTTAGAAGTAGAAGCTCAAACTGTTTGGGCACAGACCTGGATAGTATGATAGAGCTCTGCAGGCTATCTCTACAGTAGATTGCAACTCCACCCCCTTTGGCAGTTCTATCTAGACGGAAAATGTTATAGTTGGGGATGGAAATTTCAGAATTTTTGGTGGCCTTCCTGAGCCAGGATTCAGACACTGCTAGAACATCAGGGTTGGCAGAGTGTGCTAACGCAGTGAATAACTCAAACTTAGGAAGTAGACTTCTGATATTTATGTGCAAGAAACCAAGACTTTTGCGATTACAGAAGTCATCAAATGATAGCGCCTGGGGAGTAGGAGTGATACTGAGGACTGCAGGGCCTGGGTTAGCCTCTACATCACCAGAGGAACAGAGGAGGACTAGAATAAGGATACGGCTAAAGGCTTTAAGAACTGGTCTTCTAGTGCGTTGGGTACATCGAATAAAGGGGGCAGATTTCCGGGTGTTATAGAAAAGATTCAGGGCATTATGTACAGACAAGGATATGGAAGGATATGAGTAAAGTGGAGGTAACCCTAAGCGTTGGGTAACAATGAAAGAGATAGCATCGCTAGAGTCATCAATTGAGTCGGTCTCCGCGTGTATAGGGGGAGGTGCAAAGGAGCTATCTAATGCAGGTTTAGCTAGGCTGGGGGGTCTACAGTGATATAGTACAATTAGAAATAACCGAAACAACAATAAACTAACCATGTTTGGGCTGAGGCTAAACATAAACAGGATGTAGTACCGTAAAAAGGAACAGTCCAGCAGATATCAGCTGTATAGCTGAGTTATCATAAGGTCCGGTGGTGAAGCACTAGTAAGAGGCCACGGCTAGCGGGCCAGGGCTAGCAGATGGATGGAATCTTCGTGGTTAACGTCGTAACCACATCAGACGATTTCGTCCGCAGACCAGTCGTGTAGGATCGGCGGGGCTCCGTGTCAACACTAGGTGGTCCCGTCCGGTTGACAGAGAGGTAGATAGCCGGGAGATGGGCGATGGGCCTAGCTCAGGATGATTTGATTAGCCAGACCACAGCGTCCGTTTTGTTGTAGCTGGCTGGTGGTAGCTAGCTGGTAGCGATGAAATCCGGAGTTAAAGGTTCAGTGATTCCGGCGGAAAAACTGATATGTTCTGGGTCGATAACGCGCTGTGCAGACTGGCCGAATATCCGGTGATCAATGTCCAGTGATTAAAATTAATCCCGCAGAAAAAAATCCAATGTCCTGGGTGAAACACCGCTAGCTGTGGCAAATAGCAAGTAGCTAGTTAGCTGGCTAGCTAGTTTCAACTGGAGATTCTAGATTCTAGATAAAGGTAAGTCAAGGTAAGTCAATAATAGAATCCGTTCCACATTGAGTGAGGCGGGTTGCAGGAAAGTATATCTTGTAGAAGGATGAAAAGTCTGATAGGGAAATATGTACGAAAAATAGGGTATTTACAGGCTATTTACAGACAGACGATAAAAACACAACTGCACTACTACGCCATCTTGGAATTATGGGTTGGATGTATAGTGCTTCTCCAAGTGCTGAAAGGGGGTAACTTACCTCATCCACTACCTCTCAACACACATTTAGTATAACTCCTGACTCTCCTGGGTGTCATTGTACTACTCCTTGAGACTCCGTCAGGTTGCCCTGTGTATTGGTATGCCAACCTCTGACGTCCCTCTGGGTTCTTATAAGGACATGCTGGGGTAGGAGTCTCCTGGGTCAGGCTCCAGTGCTGAATGAATAAGAGTTCTCGGTGTCCAGGGGGATGAAAGGATAGAGGGATGGAAGGAGAGCTAGAGGGAGTGTGGGAGGAGTGAATGGAGACAGTTCCCCTGTCAACCAGCAGGCCAGAGCCTTGAAGTGGAAATGAGGGAGAGCAAAATAAAGTGTGTGGGTCTCAGGGGAGTTTGTGTCTGCTGCCCCCTGCATATCTCTGCTCTTTACCCTGTGGCAGTCGACAGGTTAGTCTCTCCACGGGATGGCTTGAAGTAGGCGCCGGAGGAGAGGATTCAAGTTGGGTCACATCAAGTGGGGCAACACACACATACAGTGCATTCGGAAAGTATTCAGACCCCTTCCCTTTTTCCACATTTGGTTACGTTAGTCTTATTAAAAAATTTATAATTTTTTTCCCTTATCAATCTAGGTGAAGGCTATACCCCATAATGACAACGCAAAAACAGTTTTTTGGGGGGGGAGACATTTTTGTGAATATACACTACCGTTCAAAAGTTTGGGGTCACTTAGAAATGTCCTTGTTTTTGAAAGAAAAGCAAATTTTTTGTCCATTTAAAATGACATCAAATTAATCAGAAATACAGTGTAGTCATTATTAATGTTGTAAATGACTATTGTAGCTGGAAACGGCTGATTTCTAATGGAATATCTACATAGGCCAGAGGCCCATTATCAGCAACCATCAGTCCTGTGTTCCAATGGCACGTTGTTTGCTAATCCAAGTTTATCATTTTAAAAGGCTTGATCATTAGAAAACCCTTTTGCAATTATGTTAGCACAGCTGAAAACTTTTGTGTTGATTAAAGGCTGTAACGTAACAAAATGTGAAAAAAGTCAAGGGCTCTGAATACTTTCCGAATGAACTTTATATACACACACACACACAAATGAATACACATGAAGATTAATACATACTGTTTAGTATACCACACAGAGGGTGAGACACGTATTGTATGCTCTTTCCATGTCATAGACTAACCAGGTGAATCGAGGTGAAAGCTATGATCCCTTATTGATGTCACCTGTTAAATCCACTTCAATCAGTGTAGGGGAGGAGACAGGTTAAAAAATGATTTTCAAGCTTTGAGACATGAATTGTGTATCAAATCAAATTTTATTTGTCACGTACACATGTTTAGCAGATGTTATTGCGGGTGTAGCGAAATGCTTGTGCTTCTAGCTCCGACAGTGCAGTAATATCTAACAAGTAATATCTAACAATTTCACAACAAATACCCAATACACACAAATCTAAGTAAGGAATGGAATTAAGAATATATACGTATATGGACAAGCAATGACAGAGCGGCATGGACTAAGATACAGTAGAATATTGTAGAATACAGTATATACATATGAGATGAGTAATGCAAGATATGTAAACATTATTAAAGTGACTCGTGTTCCATTTCTTAAAGTGACCAGGGATTTCAATAGGCAGCAGCAGCCTCTAATGTGCTAGTGATGGCTATTTAACTGTCTGATGGCCTTGAAATAGAAGCTGTTTTTCAGTCTCTCTGTCCCAGCTTTAATGCACCTGTACTGACCTCACCTTCTGGATGATAGCGGGGTGAACAGGCAGTGGCTCGGGTGGTTGATGTCCTTGATTATCTTTTTGGCCTTCCTGTGACATCGGGTGCTGTAGGTGTCCTGGAGGGCGGGTAGAATGGGCAATACAAAAGATTGAAGTGCCTTTGAACGGGGTATTGTATTGGGTGCAAGGCGTACCAGTTTGAGTGTCTCAAGAACAGCAACGCTGCTGGGTTTTTCTTGCTTAGCAGTTTCCCGCGTGTGTCAAGAATGGTCCACCACCCAAAGGACATCCAGCCAACTTGACACAACTGTGGGAAGCGTTGGAGTCAACAGGGGCCAGGATCCCTATGGAACGCATTTGATACCTTGTAGAGTCCATGCCCCGACAAATTGAGGCTGTTCTGAGGGTAAAAGTGGGTGCAACTCAATATTAGGAAGGTGTTTTGTACACTCAGTGTGTGATGTATGTTTGTGGTGTCTTATCTGTCTCCTCTACTGTCTTCACTTCTCAGGCGCTCTGGAAAAACAAGCCCTCACGTAACCCTTGTTTTACATGGACCTTGACTATTCTATTAAACATTATGGTCTGTTCAATATTCCTGTCTTGTTTGCATTTGCCATCCCTTTCTGTCTCTCTTTCTTTGTCTCTCTCTGTTTTCTGTCAGCTCTGCCCTGTGATGTCTGGTCTTCTGTGTGTTAGTAACAGCTGCCAAGGGACTCCTCTCCCCCTCCTACTCCCATCTCCTCACCCGCTCCGCTCACACAACAAAACAGCAGGAAAGTTTAGTGCCACTCTGTTTGAACCCAATAACTTCCTGAGTTAACTCGCACAGTCAACTAAACAGATGTCACCTAGCTCTATATACACTGCAACACACACACTTGTCACTTTTCCCTGTGTTGTGACTAAACAAATGACAGCATTGGAAATGTGTGTGCGCAGTGGAATGCAATTGTTCTTTCTTTAGTTATTCTGTTAGTTATGCAGTATGTGTGGTTACATTTGTATTATTCAGATGTAATTGGTTTGTACAGTAAGAGCTGCCCTGATGTGGGTCTGATGTTATCTTCCAAACAACCAGCATTCAACCACCTGAGCCATGAGAGACATCTGTATGCCAGTCATCCAGCTCCCTGGGTTCGGCAGCTGAACGCATCAGATCAACTCTTAGTTGGCCTAGCTAGCGCTCCCCCATGGGTTACCACGGGTAAATAAGCAGCATGGAGGAGACGAGAGCTTTGTTGTTGCTGCTTGCTGTCTTTGTTGTGCAGAGAGAGGCAAGGAGACAGGTAGGAGGAGAGGCACCTTTGATCCCCTGCCTGCCTGTCAGTCAGTACCACAGCAGAGCCATGCACCAGACACCCTGTCTGCTCCACTTTCCTCCCCATCCCGCATGCACTATTTTCAGCCTTTTGATTAGTGGCTGAGTGGTGCTGAACACCAGGTTTAATGAGGAGATGTGAGTTGTGACGAACACACTAACAGTTGTGACCGAGGGAGTGTGTTTATGTATGTGTGTCTGTCACCTGGGTGCATTTGCTGTATGTGGGTAGAGAGAATTTCTGTGTATGTAGTGTCTGTGCGATCTTGTACTGTATGTATGTGATCGTGAACATTAATGTGTGTGTGCTGGCCCTCTCTCAGCTCTCTGAGGAGGAAGTCCTCTGTCTTCTATGTTAAGTGTTTACACCCCCACTGGGCCCAGAGTGCAGCCTGCAGCCTCAATTAGTGTCCTGCCCCCCTAACCCCTGCCTGGTCTCCCACTGGAGCTCAAGCCAGCCCTGCCCACACACACACAAATCCACTTTGTCTCCTGCTGCCTCATTTACTCAAAGCTTTCTCAGTACCACTGGTTTAATGACTTATCAAAGAACTCAAGTGTCTTGGTTTGTAGAGATGCGGCAAGGAACTTAACCCTAATTGCTCCTATAAGTCGCTCTGGATAAGAGCGTCTGCTAAATTGCTAAATGACTAAAATGTTTAGGGCCTGGTTATACAAGTGTCGTACCAGTCCCTGCCACCTACTAGAAGAAACCTAAAATGCTTTTGATTCAATCCACTGGCTCTCTAAAATGAAAGAAAATGTCATGTTAGGTTAGCTTAACATACTGATGTAGTGATTATCTTTCTTTCCCCTATATCTCTCTCTCTTCTCTCACTTTCTCAGGACTGGGTAAGGGCAGAAGGAAGCAGAGTGCCCGTGATGCCTCCCCCACACCCAGCACGGACGCAGAGTACCCCTCCAATGGGAGTGGGGGAGGAGGTGGTGCAGAGCGCATCTACGACCTCACCATCCTGGCCGTTGTCAAGTTCTCGTACATGGCGGAGCGCGAGGATGAGCTGACCCTAGCCAAGGGGTCCCGGGTCACGGTGATGGAGAAGTGCAGTGACGGCTGGTGGCGGGGCAGCCAGGGGGGTCGCGTGGGCTGGTTCCCCTCCAACTACGTCCTGGAGGACCCCGCAGAGAGAGAGGGTGAGGGAGGTGGAGGAGGAAGGGACTCCCCAGGTTATCCAGGGCAGGGCAGGGGGGCCACGATGACCAACGGGCGGGCGGTAGGTGGTGGCGGCCGGGGTGGAGATGGAAGTGGTGCGCTCCACCTGGTCCAGACTATTTACCCGTTCAGCTCAGTGACGGAGGAGGAGCTGAACTTTGAGAAGGGAGAGGTGATGGAGGTGGTGGAGAAACCAGAGAATGACCCAGAGTGGTGGCGCTGCCGGAACGCCCAAGGCCTGCTGGGCCTGGTGCCTAAGAACTACGTGCTGGTGCTGAATGATGCTGACGGGCCTCCCGGGCTCCCCGCCCTGCCGCTGTCGCCCCCCGGCTCCCCACAGATCCGCTACGTGGGGCCGGCGCACGTGGGCAAGTTTGCAGGCAGGGACTGGTACTACGGAGGGGTGACCAGACACCAGGCAGAGCTGGTCCTCAACGAGAGGGGAGAGGAGGGGGACTTCCTCATACGGGACAGCGAGTCATCGGTGAGTGGGGGAAGAGAAGATGAAGGATTGATTGAGGAATGAATGAATGTATGCATGGATGGATAGTGGGGGGAATAGGATAAATAGTGTAAGGGATGAAGGATAGATGGTGGAGAGAAAGTGATTGAGGACAGTGGGAGGAAAGGAGTGTTAAGGGAGCAGGGAAGGGTAGAAAAGTAAATTGTAGAATAGGAGAGATCTGCACAGGTGAACAGCAGAAATTTATAAATGAAGTCATAGTGCCCTCTGTTGGTGGATAGTGAGTAGTGTTCGTAAAGTAAAGCATGTTTGTTGGAGACAAATTTAATTACATTTTTACATTTTAATCATTTAGCAGACGCTCTTATCCAGAGCGACTTACAGTTAGTGAGTGCATACATTTTTTCATACTGGCCCCCCGTGGGAATCGAACCCACAACCCTGGCGTTGCAAGCGCCATGCTCTACCAACTGAGCTACACGGGAACGGGAATGTGTTGTGAGTAAATGAACTGACTCTCCCTTTCTCTCCCTCTAGCCCAGTGATTTCTCTGTGTCTCTGAAGGCGCCTGGGAAGAACAAGCACTTCAAGGTGCAGTGTTCAGAGGGGGTCTACTGTATTGGCCAGCGCAGGTTCAGCTCAATTGATGAACTGGTGGAACACTACAAGAAAGCCCCCATCTTCACCAGCCAACACGGAGACAAGCTCTACCTGGTCAAACCGCTGCTGTGACACACATCCATAAACACATATACACACACATAAGCATACCACCAGATGCCCATATCCCAGCTAACCTCAACATGCTGAACTTGGGGAGATAACTTACTGTTTGTTTTAGCCCAGTCACATAGCTAGTCTTGGTTCTGTTTCCTTTCTTTGGTTTGGTTTTGTGTTTCTTTGGAACTCACACATTTTTGTATCTAATTGTAAACACTCTCCAGAGGTTCCAATTATTTATAAAGGAAATAATGACTTCACTAAGTGACCATTGTAAACACCCTCTTTTGCCTTTTCTCTTCATCTCCGCCTTCATCCTCCTCAGAACTCTAGTCATTTTCTTCCGCCTCTACCTCCTCTTCATCCCTCTATCATTGAGGAGAAGTAGGAGAGAGCGAGAGAGAGAGAATTGAAAAGAGTGGAGCGTTTGAATGTCTGTCAATGTACAACCAAATGTGCCACCCACCCACTTACTGTATTGCTATTCTATTGGCTTCAGCTCTACACTACACTTATGGCACATTTCCATACAGGATTTACCCCAGTGTTTTACACAAAAGGCTCAGACTTCTCTGTTTCCCTCTATGCAGGCCGGCACTCGTGTCTCACTGGGCCATGGCTGCGGCGGACCTGCTCTCATTTGGGGCCAAAGCCAGGCCACTGGTACTTTTCAGCTGGCATTTACATAAATGGCTAACTGTGAACTTTATCACCTTCTCACAAAGCAACTGTTTTGATTATGCAGAGGTTGTTGATTCTGCTCTTCACAAATCTTCATTGTCAGCCCTAGCTATGGAAACATAATTTCCCTAGTATAACATAAGGGTGTATACACTATCTAGTGTAACACTGGTGTTACACTAGAAAAGCAGTGTTACTGTTCTGCTAGTCTATTGGCTCCAGCTCTACACTACTTCTGTTTGATTGGCTTCAGCTCTACACTACTTCTATTTGGTTGGCTCCAGCTCTACACTACTTCTATTTGGTTGGCTCCAGCTCTACACTACTTCTATTTGGTTGGCTCCAGCTCTACACTACTTCTATTTGATTGGTTCCAGCTCTACACTACTTCTATTTGGTTGGCTCCAGCTCTACACTACTTCTATTTGGTTGGCTCCAGCTCTACACTACTTCTATTTGATTGGTTCCAGCTCTACACTACTTCTATTTGATTGGCTCCAGCTCTACACAACTTCTATTTGATTGGCTCTAGCTCTACACTACACTTACTGTACTTACTCGCTCATTCCCCGGCCCTAGTGCTGTTTTCCAATGAAAATCAGGTCTTCAGGCATTTTACTCTCAAAGTTATATATATGTACAGTACCAGTCAAAAGTTTGGACACACCTACTCATTCAAGGGTTTTTTATTTTTACTATTTTTTACATTGTAGAATAATAGTGAAGACATCAAACTATGAAATAACACATATGGAATCATGTAGTAACCAAAAAAGTGTCAAAAAATATTTGAGATTCTTCAAATAGCCACCCTTTGCCTTGATGACAGCTTTGCACACTCTTGGCATTCTCTCAACCAGCTTAGAGAAATGACAGCCATCATTACTTTAAGACATGAAGGTCAGTCAATCCGGAAAATTTCTAAAACTTTGAAAGTTTCTTCAAGTGCAGTCGCAAAAACCATGAAGCGCTATGATGAAACTGGCTCTCAAGAGGACCGCTACAGGAATGGAAGACCCAGAGTTACCTCTGCTGCAGAGGATAAGTTCATTAGAGTTACCAGCCTCAGAAATTGCAGCCCAAATAAATGCTTCACAGAGTTCAAGTCACAGACACATCTCAACATCAACTGTTCAGAGGGGACTGTGTGAATCAGGCCTTCATGGTCGAATTGCTGCAAAGAAACCACTACTAAAGGACACCAATAAGAAGAAGAGACCTGCTTGGGCCAAGAAACACGAGCAATGGACATTAGACCGGTGGAAATGTGTCCTTTGGTCTGGATTCCAAATTGGAGATTTTTGGTTCCAACCGCTGTGTCTTTTTGAGACGCGTGTGGGTGAATGGATGATCTCCACGTGTAATTCCCACCGTAAAGCATGGAGGAGGAGTTGTTAGGGTGCTTTGCTGGTGACACTGTCTGTGATTTATTTAGAATTCAAGGCAAACTTAACCAGCATGGCTACCACAGCATTCTGCAGCGATACGCCATCCCATCTGGTTTGGACTTAGTGGGACTATCATTTGTTTTTCAACAGGACAATGACCCAACACACCTCCAGGCTGTGTAAGGGCTATTTGACCAAGAAGGAGAGTGATGGAGTGCTGCATCAGATGACCTGGCCTCCATAATCCCCCGACCTCAACCCAATTGAGATGGTTTGGGATGAATCGGACGGCAGAGTGAAGGAAAAGCAGCCAACAAGTGCTCAGCATTTGTGGGAACTCCTTCAATACTGTTGGAAAAGCATTCCAGCTGAAGCTGGTTGAGAGAATGCCAAGAGTGTGCAAAGCTGTCATAAAGGCAAAGGGTGGCTATTTGAAGAATCTCAAATATAGAATATATTTTGATTTGTTTAACACTTTTTCGGTTACTAAATGATTCCATATGTATTATTTCATAGTTGTGATGTCTTCACTATTATTCTACAATGTAAACATTTTTTTAAATAAAGAAAAACCCTTGAATGAGTAGGTGTGTCCAAACTTTTGACTGGTAGTGTATATGTAGCTGATGGTGGGCACTAATTCAAGAGTACTAAGACAGTTGTTTTTATTTACCTTTTGCAATGTGCGTCTGTTTACCAATGTATCGATCATGGGGTTCTCAGCTTTTATAAGATATGATATATCTGAATATTATTGAGCATTGCTATTTTATTCTTGTTCCCACTGTATGTATATATATTCAGAAGAAGATGAGGTACATAATATGAATCATTTCGATACAACCTATGGTACTGTGCCGCTGATGACGTGGTGAGAATTAAAATACTTTTGTTCAATAAAAGTTTTTGCAGAATAACTCAAATCATGGGCTGTGTGGCAGCGTCAATGCTTTCTGTCTCTGCTGTATTGTGTGACAAGTGGTGATGGCTGCTGGTTTCTGGGAGTGGATGGATACATGTTATTATTCTCCCCTATAGTTATCATCAGAGCCATGTATTTAGGAGAGTTGGGCCCATAGAGATCCTATTAAATTCCTAATTCTATGGTTGGGCCATTGAGGTTTCTGCATTATGATGCATTTACACGACACTACAACATTCTATTTCAACCCTGTTGGCGCCCTATTAACATTACATGGGGAATATTTAAATAATGCTATGTAACTGGCCACTAAGCATTTACCGTTAGGCGACATCTTTTGTTTTGTCCTGTCCGGACCGGTGGTCTTTTTTAGGTGCGGACCAGATCTAAATCTGAACAAATCATAGACGGTTCAGATTTGGTCCGGACCGGCCTTGATTTGACCCCAAAAAAGACGTCAATGATTGGTTCAGATTTGGTCCGGATTGGCCTTGATTTGGCCCAAATATAGACGTTTATGATTGGTCCAGTATGGTGTTTGCCTTTCGCCACGTCAGTTGCTACATTGGTGTCAGAAATGGGTTGGCAGCCATGACCTTGAAACATCATGACTGGTAGACTAAGCAATATGGTATGAATCTCCTACTAGCCCAAAATTCCAATGATCGTCCTTTTAGATTTGTGGGATGTACTGTAGTGAACGAGTATAGGCCTACACTTCCCACTTAGCATTTACCGATGGCAACATCTTTTGGATGTATTTTTTTGGTCTTGACCGGATGTCTTTTTTTGGTGCAGTCTGGACTGGCCTTCATTTCAATGTCCAAGGATGTTGATTCTTGTTCCGGACCGGACCAAATCTGAACCAATCATAGACGTCTATGTTTGGTTCAGATTTGGTCCAGTCTGGACCGGCCTTGATTTCAATGTCCATTGTCCACAGTACAGTAAAGCACAGTATAAATGTAGTGTATTGTACCCTACTTTACTCCAATGTACTCTATTGAACTAAACTGTACAGTACTATACTCTACTTTTCTTTACTGTAATGTACTGTACTCTACTGAATTAAACTGTACAGTACTATACTCTACTTTTCTTTACTGTAATGTACTGTACTCTACTGAATTAAACTGTACAGTACTATACTCTACTTTTCTTTACTGTAATGTACTGTACTCTACTGAATTAAACTCTACTGTACCGTACTGTGCTCTACTCTACTGAATAAAACGTGACTTTCCTGTACCATACTCTAAGGTGCTCTACTGTACTAAACTGCCATACTGAAATGTGATGTTCAAACTTGTGAAACAGCCTATGATGTGTTCAGATTTAGATCTGGTCCGCACCGACCATATTTGTACTTGTTTAGGGGCGGAAGTCATTAGAATAATACCAGCATGCTTTGCAAGTGTTTGACCAAAATGTAAATGTAAAAACATTCAGCAGACGCTCTTATTCAGAGCGACTGACAGTCATTGCGTTCAACTAAGGTAAATAAACATATCACAGGCATAGCAAGTAAATTGAAAGATCTGTAACTGTTACTGAGAATGTTATTGTAGTTGAAGTGGTCTGTTGGTTTATTCTGTAGGTTTGACTACTTTGAACATCATCGCTTCCAGTTTTAAAGCTTTTGAAAAAGCTAACATAAGTGCATGTGACAGATGGGTGCAATAATAAATATTCTGTTGCAATCTTCAGTTGGCTCCTCTTCTATATTATTGTGATATAATGCTTATTTAATTGAGAATGCATGTGCAGTTGAAATTTGTCCATAGAATCATGACTGAAAAATACATATTTTCAAAGTCATAATTATGCATTTTCAACTTCCGTGTAAGACGTCTCTTTTGACATCCGGAAAATACATCTTCTAACCTTTCATTCAACACCTGAAATGCATGTGATGTCAACGTCTGGAAAAGACGTCTAAAATATGTTTTGCTAATTTTGCTTACTGGGCGAATGTCTCAAATTAGAACAATATAAAAAATGTGAAAGGTTGGCCCAACTCT